CCTCCCCTTCCCTCGCGTCTTCCCCTCCCACTCCGTGCCAAGGTCGAGCCTGGTCCGGGGCTGCCTGATGGCGGCCTGGTTTGTACATCTGGGGCCGTGCCAAGGCGAGTCTGCTCGCGCCTTACCGCAAGCAGGAGGGCGGGGCGCAAGGGGGCTCAAGGCGAGGGCGGCGCTGAGCGAGAGCAGTAGAAGGAGGAAGGGGGAGAGGAAGGGAGGAGGGAGAGAGGAACAAGGAGAGAAGGAAGACGGAAGCAGAGGGAGGATGTTCAGAAGGGGGAGGGGAATAGGGAGCAGGAGGAGGAGGAGGAGGAGGAGGAGGAGGAGGAGGAGGAGGAGGAGGAGGAGGGGGAGGCGGAGGAGAAGGATAGACAAACTCGGCACGCTCGCTCCGCAAGGGGCATCCTGCCCGTCCACCCATCCCCTCTCACTCTGCTGAATTTGCTCTAATTGGGATATCTTCGAAGACGTGGATCCCCTAAGTAGCGCCGTCGTGAGACGAACAACTTAGAAGGGGGGGCGCCTTTTCACATCGGGGGAGGTGGCGGCAGATAAACAGGAGAAGGATGAGGAGGAGGTGGGCGAAGGAGGAGCAGGAGGAGGAGGTGGAAAACGAGGGGGAGAAGGAACCACACACAGCAACAGCAGCAGGAGTAGGAACGGCGAGAGCACGAGGACCAAAGCAGGAGGTGGCGGCAACGACACTTGAAGCGGATTCACACGTGTAGCCAAGGCTGAGGCGAGAGCGCCATGCTGAACGACGGGAGCAAGGCGCCGAAGCTAAAATGCGACCAACGCTGCAGCGTGGCCCGAAGCGTTCCGACCAGACTCACCCAAGACGGACCAGGGGGCCACGAATAGGGCCCCAAGACGGCCCCAAACACCTCCAAACTGCCAAATAGCTCCCCCTGGCAGCCCAAAAGGCCGGGGCAAACAAAACCGATGAAGTGGACAAGGAACGGAGGGGAGTAAGAAATTAAGGAACGCGACCTTGGAGCCACCAGCCTGTGCCTGAGGTGGAGGAGGTGGGGGGGGGAAAGGAGGTGAAGGAGATGCAGGCGGCCAGAGGGGGAGGACAGGGCGCCTGAAGGGCGCCTGCAACCATAGGTGCAAGTGGGGTTCTGGGCGCTGGAATTCATCTCCTGCCCCAGCACAGGCAAACCGCAGCTGGGACAGAGAGAAGGCTACGCGGCGCCGGCGCGGGCCTCGCAAGCAGAATCGAAGGGGCCCTCGGCCATCGGCCAACTCCCCACGCGGTAGGCAGCACAGGGCGGCCATCGAGCTCACGGGCAATGTTACCCGATGTCTGTTCGGATGGAGGCCGCTGCGCATTCTGAACCACGAATCGGGCGCCCGCGGCTTGCCTGTAAGGATAAGCGGCGGGCCCATGCAGGTAAGGGACACAGGCCAGCCCCTGGCCAGACGTCCAGCACTTGCACTTCGGACGAGAGCAAAAAAGAGAGTCGCCAGAGCAGCCGACGACCGAGCGAGCGAAGCTCAGGGCCGACAGAGGGCGGAGCTGAGTCCGGTGCTTGGCGCAGAAGCCAGGGGGAGGTCAAACCACGCCGCCCAGTTCATTGATAGGAAGGCACCAACTATACACCAACACCGATCCTGGCCAGGATCAGCCTGGGCCCAGGATCGGTGTATACGCCCTCCTGCCTTGCGCAAGAAGGCATATACACCGATCCTGGGCCCAGGGTGATCCTGGGCCAGGATCGGTGTTGGTGTATAGTTGGTGCCCTCCGAATTGACGTGGCTGCGCCCCCCCCCTGGAGGCAATCAGAGCAACCAGGACTGGGGACTGCCAGCAGTGACGGGGGAACGCGTCTGAATGGGACTGCTGGAGCCTCTCTGCAGGACAGTAGCCACCAAGTCCTCCAAGTGCCCCTGGCGGCGCCCAAGGCTGAACGCAGCGCCCGATCCCGCTCTGCGCTCCGCGCCGCCCGTGGACGCATCTGGGCGGCGGGGCCAGGCCAGGTGCGGGCGAAGACTCGCCGCCGGTTTCGCCGCGGTTTGGGCAGCAATGCAACGGGGGCCCGACCGCAAGAAACCTTCCACGAGAAACCCAGCCCAGAAACCCCAGGGCGCCCATCGATTTTTGGCGCGGGAGCGCCGCGCTTTCAACGGCAGAAAAAACCAGCCGAAGTCCAAGAAATCCAGGGCGCCCCGGAGGCGAGCAGGGTGTTTCTTGGCATGGGCCCTTGCCGCAGTAAAAGAAACGCAACGCAGGTTCATTCCCTGCGAGCGGGATCGGGCTGAGGGTGCTGCAGCGCCCCTCTCTTCGCGGAGGCGCCAGCCAGGTGGCTGCCAGCGCGCGGGGTGCGCTCGGCCTCGTCAAATTCGCGGCGAGCCTTCACCTGGGACGAGCTGGAGCGCGGACTTTTCTGAGACAGAGCTTGAAGGACGATGCCGCCGCGCACGCACTTGCGGCTGATTTTGTCAGCCAGCGAGGGGGCATTGCACTTCTTGAAGACGTTCTGACAGTCGGTGTAAAATGGCGGGGGCCTGCTGCCAAAAAGGCTGCCCCGTCCAAAGCCGAGCGCCCCCCTCCCCGACTAGCCTCGAGCGTCGGGCCCCAGGCGGGAGCAACGACGGTGCAAATTTAGAGCGTTGTCGGGCCCGACCTGCTCTGGCCAGCTCCCTGACTGGGATCTTGTAGGGCGACGAAATCTATGCATATCCACTGCTCCCTGGCCAAGCCCATCCTCAACCCCGCAGCGGTGCATACGCCACGCCCTCCTGGCTTGGCCAGGAGGGCGCATACACAGCTCCTGGGTTCAAGATGGGCGTGGTCAGGGAGCAATGGATATGTATAGATTTCGTCGCCCGATCTTGGAGCACGAGCCGTCAAAGACACCTCCAAGTCCCCCGCCCGACCTGCCAGAGCCATTGCGCCGCGCCGCGCGAGATCTCGTCGGGGGGGGGTCGCCGGGGTGCCTGGGGCGCCCCCATTGAAAATGAGCCAGTCCATCTCGGGGTCTCTAGAGGGCCCTAGATGCCAGAATCCCACCAGCCCTCTGGGCGTAGGTGGTCTAGAGCAGATCCTCTTCCACCCCTCCCTCTTCCCCCTTGGGGAGGGGTTTACCCCTCCCCCTACCCCCTCCCCTGGACCTGGACGGGGGGGGCCGCGGGTAGTTAGAGCGTCCCAGATGGCCCAAGACGGCTCCAAGAGCGCCTCAGAGAACCCAAGATGAGCTCCAAGATGGCTCAAGATAGCGCAAGATCGCTCGAGATGGCTCCTAAGATGGTTCCAAGAAGCCCAAAGACGGCCCCAAGATAACTCCAAGTGGCCAAACAGCTCCCCAAGGAGGCCCCGAAGAGGCCAAAATCGTCCCAAAACCTAAGGAAAATCAATGATTTTTGCTTTCTCGCCTTTTCGCTTCCGATGGCCATCCGAGGCCTGGAGATGGCTCCAAGATGGCCCAAGAGGGCCCCAAGAGAGCCCCAAAAGAGCCCCAAGACGGCCCCAAGAGCGCCCAAGAGCACTCCAAGAGCGTTCCAAGAGGGGTCCAAGAGGCGATTTTAGGGGCTTCCGAGGGGGGACGCTAATTAAACCCCCCCTCTTGTTTGATCGATCTCCTCCAAGATGGCCCCAAGAAGCGCCCAGGAAGCCCCAAGAGGTCCCAAGATGGCCCCAAAATGGCCCCAAGAGGCCCCCAAGAGGCCCCCCGGAGGCCCCCAAGAGACCCCCAAGAGGCCCCAAGAGCCCCCCCAGATGCACCCAAGATGCTCCAAGAGGCCTCGGCGAGAATGCCTAATCATTGATTCTACACAGGTTTTAGCCACATGGAGGCCTCTTGGGGGGGGGCACGGATTAAGATGACTCCAAGAGCGTCTGGGAGAGCCCAAAATGACCTCCAAGATGGCTCAAGATATCCCAAGATGTCTCATAATGGCTTCCTCTGTGTGCTGCCCACTTCTCTGATCGAGGCAATTCCTCTGGGCATCGTTTCTGGATGGGCTGGTGGGGATTCGCGAAGCGACAACAATTTGACCGGGGGCCCGCGCCCATCGCAAAACCAACGCTTCCAAATCCACGGTAAAATCAAGCCCCGCTCACGGCGCAAATCGCGCTTGCGGCCGCGGCGGCAACCGAAGGGAAACGCCCGATCCACGGCCCGGGAAGCCACGCAAAGAACAGCCTTTGGAGGGCCGAAAGAGTCAATGACCTAGCGATGGAAGCCGTGGCGTCGACACAAAACCAAGATGGAATTCCTGACGAATCGCTTGCAGCGCGCCCCAGAGATATCATAACTCCTCGTCGAAGGAGTCTCCCGAGCACGCCTGGCGACCTAACGGGGAGAGATGTCCTGGCCGAGGTCGTTGGCTAACGTGAACAAGCCATTCATGACCCAGTCGATGCTGGGGTGCGAAACCTTCATGCAGTCCACTCGCCCCCCAACTCTCCTCCGCGAAAAATCGCCCCTGCCAAGCGCAGCCGCACGGCCCTGCGTCGGCGTCTGAGACGAGAGCGAGAGGGCGGCGACGCGCGTAGTTGTTGCCCGCACTTCCTCGCCATGGCGGAGGTCTGGCGCCGCCGCCGCTAGCCGAAAGGGAACGCTTCCTGCAATCATGAGGACGACGAGTGGTCTGACCCCAGCCGACGGCTGCGTAGTTTGACCGAGGGGGTGGCGGAGGTGCAGGATTTCTCCATCGCTGCAGCCGTGAGCTCCAGCGCCGTAGAGGACCCTGGGCCCGGTGTCAGGCAGAGGCCCAGCCGCGAAAATCCTGCAACGCTTGCCGAGGTCTGCCCTCGGCCTAACAATCCGACGAGCAAGTCGACCAGCGCTGGCAAATCGAAGTTTGTGGCGAGATCATATTCCCCCGGTCTTTCCGGCTTCCCCACGGGCGTCGCCAGTGGCCAGATGGGGGGGCTCGTCATGATGGCCCAGCGAGTCCTCCGCGAGCCGCCTTGAATTCCTTGGCCACCTTCGAAAAGGATAACGGTAAACGGGCCCTGGCAGCCGCGGCCCCACTCCCGCGATCGATCCAGAGCGAGAAAACTGCAATCAACAGTGCGTGTCCTGCGCAGGGTCTTGACAGCAGCGGTCAGGTCACCGCCGGCAGCCTCCGCTGGGTCGACGCGATGGTACGCGAAATCGTCCAGGTAGGCATCAGATTCGAAGGGTCTTGGAAGTCCATGGCAGTCTACTAAGTCCAAGACTGAATGGATCCCGACACGAGCTGTCGCGATAGATGGGCCAACCAGCTACTGCGCCCGTCTGGGCCGCCCGAGGCCCAGCAGCGCTTCCGCGCGCAGTCGCCGAACGGGCAAGCCGGCAGGCGCTGGAGCGCGGTCGGGGCGCCCGAGACGAGCGCGCCTCTCTGTGGCAACGACGCAGGAGAAGCCCCGGGTCAAGCGACGCGTAAAACTTATCTTCCAGAACGTTTGCAGATGCCGCCGAGGACGCGATGCGCTTCTCGCACCTCGGGGCCTGCCTCGAGACGACGTCCGAGAAAGATTTGACGCGGCCGCGAGCGAAGAAAGGACCTGGCCCCAGAAGCCCCCTATCCTTCAGCCACATGGCGCCGTGCTCGCACCATGAAGGCAGCAGGGTGGTGCAATGGGCCGACGGGCCGATGGCCCCCACAGGCCTTCGGACGCATGGCCGGCAAGTCCACGAGCAACTGAATTGGGATGGTCGATGAGTCCTCCCAAATCTGGCACATCTCCCCACGCTGAGCAAGGCCCCGTCGCAAAGCTGCGCGCGGCGGCGCACGTGGAAGCCGTCGGCGGAGACAGAAGCAAGGCGGACCACTGCGGCTGGGCCTCCGCAGCCTGGGTGGGCCCAGGAAGGGGGGCCTCGAGCACCTCCTCCCCGGCGAACGCGCAGGGCGCGCGGGCCCCCGGGTGCGCGGCGCCCCAGAGCTCCGCGAACATGGCGGATTCAGGCTTCAGAGCGCAAGGCGGATCCGAGACTGGCGCGCCTTCCGAGCTGCGAGTGGTAGTGGGCCGCCAGACTTGGGGGCCGCCAGTGAAATAATTTGCCTTTTCGGCCGTTTTCGATGCCGCCCAAGACTCGCCGCCCACCGGGGGCCCTGGACTCCTCGCGAATCAAGGCCGCTGTCTCGCCTGGGGGCTCTTCGACGTCCTCGAGCAAGTGGACCAAAGCGGCGCCCCAGTCTTCCAGAGATGAACTACCGTGGAAACGCGCGGAGCGGCCCGGCTGCGAACGCGGCCCCGAGAGGTTGAGTGGCCCAAAATATTCGAAGGCGGCCTGCGACGCTGCTCCGCCAACGATTGGCGCGCTGGAATGATTCGCAGGGCCGCCTGCAGGGCGGCGGCCCTGCAGGCGCCCTCAGCAAGGCCGCCGAAGAAATGACGGCCTGCTGCGCAGAGGGCGGGGCTGGCTGGGAGTCAACCGCGAGGGGGGCCGCGCCGGTCACCTGGGCCCCGCCGCCCCACGCGCCGAAAACAACCGGAGAAAAGACCGACGGGGAACAGCAATGCTCGACCTCGGTCCACGCTCGAAAAATGCTGCGCGACTCACGGAACTTCGAGCTGACGGGCACGCGAGGGAGAGTAGCGGCTTCCTCGACCAGAATAACATCACTGATAGTTTGACTCAAAACTCGAAACCAAGACGCACTCGCAATGCTCGGACCCCGCGGGGCCCGCGCAGGAGCCTCTATCCCCAGGGGCCGAGACAGGACTACCACGAAGAAGCCCGGGGATGCCATGCCCATGGGTAAGCCCAGCGGCCGCGCTGCAGTCCCCTCCCAAGACATAAGGCGTGCCCGCGCTACTTCAATGCGCGGCTGCGTCTGCCGGGAGAGCGACGCTGCTCTCGCCCATGTCCTTGCAACCGAGCGCGTGGATGCCAATGGGAGCTAGCTGCCCCAGCCTAGCCACGCGTCTGCAGGGGGGGGGGGGGGGGGCCCGGGGGGGCCTAGATGGAGATGGAACGCGAGTGCCGAACGAACCGCGATGGCCACTCCAGCAGACGCCCCTCGCGGCCCCCACAATATTTCCAACCGCGCTGAATGCGCCAGGTGCGACTCCTCCGAAGTAATTATGGAGCTTTTGCTCCTGAGTCAAACCGACGACGGCACTAAAGGAAGACGACCTCTTACGAGTCGTATCCCATCCGATCCACTGAATGCCTCAGGCCACCGTAGACGAAACCTCGTGGTCGTAACAACCTCCAAGACGTCCAGATCTTTTTTTTACCATCCTCCGAGACGTTGCCAGCGTAACCGCCGAGGATGCGGAACAAGCCCCCGTCGCTGCTGATGGCCAGTGGGGGCGCCGCCGCAGCCCCACCGCCAGAACTGGTCTGCCGGCCCCGCAGCCGCGTCAGGAGGAACTGGACCAGATGCCGTCTGGACCAGATGCCGCAGTCTGAGCTGACGCCTCACGCACTGCCGAAATTCCTGACGCCACTGCCTGCTGCATTGCCTCCATGTTAGACTTGGGCTCCTCGAAGTTGACCGGCGAAATCGATGACGCCGCATCCTTGCGCAGGAGGTCGAGGGCCGCGAATGCGTCCCCCCCACTTGGTGGCCGTCGGGACTTCCATGGGCGGCATCGGCGCGACCTGCGCAGACAACTCACGATAACGAACTCGAAGCTGCTCGATCTTTGTGCTGAAGTGAGCGCGCTTTGCCGAAGCTCTCCACGCTTTCTGTGATACTCCATGCTGCCAGCGAACTGGCCCGACTCCTTAACTTCGCGTTGAGGTGCGTTTGGGTTGCTGCGGTCTGAACTCTCGTATCCTGTTTGTCGGAGTGGTCGTTCTTGACGTGCACGACTTGAGTGGGTAGAGTGTTGCCAAGGCGCCGTCCGCCCTGGCACCTCACCACCCTGGAAGTGTTTACCCCGCGCCTCCAGGTACCCGACCGTGGCCCCCTTCGACAGAAGGGGTGGGCGGAATGGCAGCGCTGGTCGACTCGCTCCAAGGAGGAGCAGGAGCTGCTGGCGACCCCGTCGTGCGAACCCAAGGCTGCCGACCCCTTTCGATACCTTCGTCGGCATAAGTGGGAGACTTGCCGCAACCAGCTCGCACACCACGATGCCTGGGAGCACGACCAAGGCGAAAGACCAGAGCTCTGTGTCACGCCCTGCGCCAACTGTACCACGGAATGTTCTTCTTACCCCCGCACACGGAACATGTACCACCCGACATGTAAGGAACCGAGCTCCATATACACCGACGTTTTCCGGCCCCGAACTGAAACTCGCACAGGAAAGCGGCTCCTGGTGTATACGGGATCCTGGTGTATACATTGTCTCTTCTTTCCTCGGGGAAACGGGGAACAAGTATGCACCACACCACCCCGACGTCATCCCCTACCCTCAACAAGCCCTAGGATTGAAAAAACAGCCCGCCACTGGCAATGTAAATGCTCCAGTTTCCGAACATGATTGCCACGACATGGCGGCGACAAAAAGAAGCAGATCCCTCGACAGGCGCCACAATGGATGCTCGATGCTGGGGCGGACCAGCAAGGGCACTCGGGTGAGGGCGGACCGAATGAGATCGAAAACTAGCCGCGGATCAACGTTTATCCACTGGGCCCGCTGGAAGCCCCAAGACCTTGAGCCCAAATGGCTACGGACAGGAGGCGAGGGAGGTGGAGAGGGGGAGGGGGTGGGGGAAAGTGGAGAGGGGCAAGGCGTGGAGGAAGAAGGGGGGGTAGGGGAAGGAGGGAGGGTGCACGGGACCGACTGGTTACCCCTTGCTCGCGCCACCCCCGCTGGATCCCCTTGGGAGAGTGCATACGTCAGCTGCCGACAGGGTTGCGGAGCCTGTGAAGCAATGTCCTCCTCCTCGTCCTCCTCCTCCTCCTCCTCCTCCTCCCTCTCCTCCTCCTCCTCCTCCTCCTCCTCCTCCACAGCTTCCGCTGTTGACTGCGAGTGTTCACCACAATCACCAACAACAACGCAGCTCAAACACTCAAACAATGAGGTCCCAGAGCTTGCTCCACGAAGCCCGCACCCGTATGATGCATGATCATCCATGTCTACCCTTAAGTCGGGCGTGTCCCCCTACAGGCCGATTTTAGGCGAAAAATAAAAAAGTACGCAATAAATACTCAAACGATGCCCAAACATGCTCAAAAAATACTCCCCAGCCTATTTTTTGACTATTGTTGAACATTCCCCCTATATAGCGACAGGCCCGACTTAATGCTATCACTGCCTTCCCGAGGCCGTCTTGGGTCCTCTCGGGACCCTCTTGGTGCCCGCTTAGGCCATCCTGGGGCCCTCTCAGACCCTCGGTGAAGCCTCGTCGGTCGTTGTGGGGCGACCCAGGAGGGCCTTGGGGGCCAGTCGAATGTCCGAAGAGAGACAGGTCTGACGTCGACGAGAAAATCATTCGAAAACCTGAGGAAATCCAAAGAGTGTCGCCTCTTAGGGCCAACATTGGATAAAGAAACCTTCGATAAGGAATCCAGGGTCTGGATGCCAGTGGAAAGCCAATCGTGGATTGGCCATGGATATCTCCGCCGCCCTCATCAGATAAGGAACCATCCAGGGTCTGAAGCCTCCCGGGCACGTTCCGTGACGAACGCCCCCACCGCATGGGTATCTCTTGGGGCGTCCTGGAAGCCTTTCGGGCAGAATGGAAACCGTCGTCGGCAGGCTCGATCGCTCCCACACGCTCAAGATGGCCCCCCGACGGCCTCCAAGAGGCCCCCCAAGAGAGCCCCAGGAGGCAAAATGTATTAGTCCCCCTTCGGTGTCTGAAGCTCTTTGGCCTTCTCGCCTTTTCGGCTTCCCGACGCTCCCAGAGGGCCCTCGGGGCCCACAAGACCGCCCCAAGAGGCCTACAAGAGGGCCCAAAGACGGCCCAAGAGCGCCCAAAGACGGCCCAAGAGGCGCCGAAGACGGCCCAAGAGGGCCCCAAGACGGCCACAAAAGAGCCCAAGAGATGGAACACGAACAGAAAATCCGAGCCCCCCGCCCCAAGAAGCCCCAAGGAAGTCCCAGGTGGCGTCCAGGAGGCCCCAAAGAGGCCCCCAAGAGGCCCCAAGAGGCCCCCAAGAGACCCAAAAGAGGCCCCAACACGGTCCCCACTTCCAAACTGCCTCCAAGAGCACCCAGAGATGCCTCCCACGAGATCCCAACGAAATCCAAGAATACCCACAACCCAGGCACGGTGACGAGATGGGCCTAAGGCCATTCGATCCGCCGCCCCCTGTTGATTCATCACAGGGGTGCCTGGCGTGCTGAACTTCTTACGATTTTGGTGTTGGTTCTTCTCCAAAAGAACTCTCCCAGCGGGCTCCAGCACGTCCCGCCGGGGTCCTGGGAGGATGCCGAAAGATCTTCCAGAGGTGGTTGCAAAGGGTTTTTCCGTTCCAGACGGCTCCAAGATGGCCTCCAAGATGGCCAAGATGGCCTCCAAGACGGCTAAGATGGCCCCAATATGCCTCCAAGACGGTTCAAGCTGCACCCAAGACGGCCCACAATGGCCTCAAGATGGCCCAAAACGGCCCAAGAGGCTCCCAAGAGGCCTCCAAGACGGCCTCCAAGAGGTCCTCCAGGAAGGTCCGAAGAGGCCAAAATCATTGATCTTCCTTAGTTTTTGAAGAATGTTGGTATTTGCGCCTTTTCGGCTTTCCGACGGCCCAAGACGGCCCAAGAGGCCCCCAAGGTCGCCCCAATATCGCCCCAGAGGCCTCCAAGATGGCCCCATGACGGCCCAAGAGGCCCCCAAGACGGCCCCAAGAGGGCGCCAAGACGGGCCAAGAGGCATCGAAGACGCCCAAGATGGCCTCTAAGACGGCCCTGGAACACCCCAAGAGGGCCCCAAGTCGGCCCAGAAAGGCACCCCAAACGGCTTCCGACGGCGTCAGACGGACCAGGAGCCCACCAAGATGGCCGAATGTGGCTCGCAGCTGGCCCAAGACGGCCCAAGAGGTCTCCAAAAGGGCCTCCAGGAAGGCCAGAAAAAGGCAAAAAAGAATGATTATCCGTACGTTTTTGGGAAGATTTTGACATTTGCTTCGTTTCGGTCTTCCGACGGCCCGATACTGCCCAAGAGCCCCCAAAGATCGCCCAAGGATCGCCCAAGAGGCCCCCAAGATGGCCCCAGAACGGCCCAAGAGACGTCCAAGACGGCACCAAGAGGCCCCCAAGACGGCCGAAGAGTCCTCCAAGACGCTCAAGATGGCCTCCAAGACGGCCCACGAGCCTTCCAAGACGTCCTCCAAGAATGCCCGAAAGGGTCAAAATGGCCTCCAGGCGGCCAAGATGACCTTCAAGATGCCCACGTGTTCCCCGAAGGCTTTCCGAACCGATTCGGGGAACAAATGGCCCGATAGTTTGGCAGGCCTCTGGCCACAACGTTCGGCCACGCACGCGCTTCCGAAACGGCAGGGGGCGGCGGTGATTCGCCGTAGGCGTCTTCGATCTATATCCTTCCTCTTATGATCCGCCTGCCCCTCTTTCTCCTTCTCCTCCTCCTCCTCCTCCTCCTCCTCCTCCTCCTCCTCCTCCTCCTCCTCTCCCTCCTCCTCCTCCTCCTCCTCCTCCTCCTCCTCCTCATCCTTACCTCCATCATCAACATCATCAACATCATCATCATCATCATCATCATCATCATCATCATCATCATCATCATCATCATCATCATCATCATCATCAACATCAGCATCATCATCAGCACCAGCATCAGCATCATCATAATCACCATCACCATCACCATCACCATCACCATCACTATCACCATCACCATCATAATCACCACCATCATCACCATCACCATCACCATCATCACCATCATCACCATCACCATCACCATCACCATCATCAGCATTAGCACCATCACCATCACCATCATCATCACCATCACATCACCTCACATCACCCATCACATCACCATCACCATCACCAACATCATCACACCATCATCATCATCATCAGCATCAGCATCAGCATCAGCATCAGCATCAGCATCAGCATCAGCATCAGCATCAGCAATCAGCATCAGCATCAGCATCAGCATCAGCATCAGCATCATCATCATCATCATCATCATCATCATCATCATCATCATCATCATCATCATCATCATCATTAGCATCATCATTATCACCCCCACCACCATCAACATCATCATCATCGTCACCGCAATCGTAATCCTGATCGTCGTTTTTATAGGCAATCACCCTTCCTCCACCCCAGCCCCACCGCTATTACCCTCCCTCCTCATCCACCTGCTCCCCCTTTCCCCCTCATGCGCATCCTCCCCTTCATCCCCTCCCATCCCTCTGGCCGCAGGGGGGGAGGAGGGCGGAAAGGGTAGCATTCCACTGCATGGGCTCCGCATCAATAATTAGCTAGAATGTGCACACGGGCTGGGCGCACCTTGAACCTGACAGAAAAATTGCATGAGCGCGTTGCGCCCGTTTGGCCAACCTGAGTCGGGCCGTCGGCGCACAACTCTTGGGCAGTAGACGGGAAGCACGAGTTCCTGTCCGAATTCAGTGCGCTCATCGAGGCTGGGACACGAGTCCCATTACAGTGGAGGCCAGTCACAAGAAACCTTCCA